TTATCCTTCTTGTAGATTCAAGAGATAGATTTATAGAAAATACATTTTGTATTCTTTCTTGAATTTGTAAGATTGTCAGGAGTAGATTTAATTCTATTGATTCCTCCACAAAATAAGCAATTTCCCTTGTAATCTTATTATTTGATAACCTTGCTGTCTTTGTCTTAACATTACAGCAGCCTGATAATTTATATCCACATGAAATGCGGCTTCTTTGACACTATATCCGTCTTCAATAACTTTTTTATGTGGCATTGTCTAATTTTACTTGAAATTAAATAGTTTTTTTCTATTCATCTCTGGCATGGATTATGAAATTTTTTAAAGAAACTCTGGTTATTTCAAAAATCGCAGAAAATTTTAAAAATATTTTTGGTTATTTGAAATTTTAAAAAGACGAGTTGAAATACTATAGAAGAATTCAGCAACTATTTGTTCACTGACAGTTGTATAGAAACAACGTATGCTGGAAAATCAGTTTAATGTGAGTTTTTTTAAGATATTAAAACTTACTTATGAGTTTGAAGTTGGCAGGTTCATTTTCATTATATAGGTTTATCGTAATTATTTTGAGTGAAATCAAATTATCATTGCAATTAACAACATTTTACCATTTAATCGTTGTTCATTTTATGAATATAAGTCAATGCTTTAATGTCCCCTTACTCCTGTTTACTCTCGTGAGGCATAGGTCGCTGACTAGAGATCTCTAATTTACTCTGTTCTCAGCTATTCTTTCCAGTTGTCCTGAAGTTCCATCCATTCTTTTTATGTCGGCCTCCAGTTTTCGGCACAATGTGTTCTTCGATCTGCCTCTACCTGAATCAATTTTAGGGTTACTGCCGGTCTGAAGCCCGATGAATTATAAGAGTTGCGTATTAGGTTAGCAACCTCATCCCTTAGAAGAGAATCTTTCTAAAAAACACTAATGTTCCCAACTATTATGTAAATGTTTTGTAATTCAATACGTGCTAGATTAATGATAATACATTGCAGATTAGCTTATGTAATTAATATTACTGAAGTTTGGCAGAAATTAGGTACCAACTATATAAAAAACACAGGCGTGGAAATTATACTTGGAACAGCTTCTTTGATTGAAATCTAAGTACTTCTAATTTTTCTCTCACCAATCCGGTGCTAGCTTCCTTGAGGAAATCATTAAGTTTATGATAGACTTTTCTTCAAACATATTCGAAATTTGTTTTTATGTGCATTAAGAATTTGAACCATGAAAACAACCTGACGTATGATGATGTGTCTGTAAGCTAACTAACAGAATATGTAATCCTGTGAAAGTATGTACTGACAGAAAATAATCGGATAGTGTGCTGTGTTATTAATTAAAAGTAACAATCGAAGTAAGCATTGTTCTCCTGTCCAACGAGTTCATCTAATCAATGTCGTCTCACATTTACATGAAATCAACATTTGAACGTGTGTCTAGTATAGACCGAGTGGAAGGCTAGAATTATTCAGATTTCTTTCACTGGTATTATTTTATATATAAGCTTCATACCAAATATCACTGAAGGTCAGAAAACATATTCTCGTAGAATTAGAATATATATTAACCTGAAAATTTTAGAATTAGTGTAATTATAATTGCTAAAAAGTTCCTAATATCCGTAAAATTGTTTATCAGCATCATTATACTTTTAAGGTTATCATAATCCCTTTGTTGTATTAACGGTTTAGAGTTCATGTGTGTAAGGATTTTAAACTATTTAAAATCAACCCGTGAATGCAAACAATACATTTACACTGTAGGAAATCTTACCGTGTAAATAGGCCATATATTTTTTACTTAAAGAATCGTAATAATGACGCTAATAAGAGTAGTCGTTAAAAACAAATAGCAGTGGCTTGTTGTTGGATTCCATTTGCTATATTGATTACCTTCTTATTAAGCAAATTAAGTGGCTCACACTACAAGTCCAACTTTTTTCAAAGCTTTTTAACCTATATCACTCAGCATCACTCTTGACCTAAATACGCTTTTACATATCTATAATTATTCATGAATAATATACTGGTAACGAGCACAACAGACACTTGATATGTTTTAGAAGAAAGATTACGATTTTGTTTGTAGTTTAAATCACGAACGGACTTTAGTTAAACAACCATGAAAGACTAGGAAGGATTGAACATTTGTTTCTTCGTTTCCTCGTTTTCTTTCCCTAATTTCTATCCATAAAATCGATAATAACAAAAGCTGAAACTTTTGGAAACGATAAAGATCTGATACGGTTCTTCTGATATTACTTACTTACACATATTACTCCCAATGGAGCATAGGCCGCCGACCAGTATTTCCCAATCCAATCTGTCCTGGGCCTTCTGATATATATATATATATATATATATATATATATATATATATATATATATATATATATATATATATATATATATATATATATATATATATATGAGACAGCTTAGCATGAATTATTGAATCCTATGCTTGAATATCTCTACATAATTTCACAGACCAGAACAAAATTTCTATTTATTTTTAAAATCAGTATTGTAGTAAATGTATGCAAAGATGCGAACCCATTTTCTGTGTCTTAAAGATGAACTTTGTAGTTATTTTAAAAAATATATGTATATAGAATACTTGAAGACATTTCATCGTTTGTTGTTAATAAACTTATCAAAATAATTTATGTAATTTAATGATTTATTCAATATGGAAATGCATGTTGCTGGTCTATACATCTTTTGTGTACAATGAAGTGAGAATATCACTATATGTTTGTTATTGTTTTCTTTTTTTTCTCATGTTACTTTGTACTATAGCCTAACCAATCGATTTCTACATGGATGTTTGTTTTAGTGATTGAATTAACCATAACTTAAAGAAAATAGTTACGTTTCGAAATAATAATATACTGTATTGTAGTGAATCGATTAATTATGTATTGTAGTTTTTTGTTTGAAGAAAACCATTATGCTATTAAAGTTGGTCAAGTGTTTGAAAATAATTCGATGAAAGGCTTATTTAAACAGACGTTTATAAGTGAACATTCTTTTTGGTATACTTTTATGTATAAACTCTGGTGTAACAGAATTATTTCAGTGTCTGTGTGTAGCCGACAGGAAGTATTCACTGGAGTGGGTGGAAAATACTGCAGTGTAGTCAAACGAATACATAATACGATCACTCAGATCATTGGCTATTTTTTCATAATAATAACGTAAATTTGATTTATTTTTGGAGTTTTATTGACTAAATCATGAAATGGTTCGAAGGTATCAATACCGATGTTGAACTTCATAGTTTTACATAAATTGAGGATTGGTTAGATAGTTTCCCGATGCGTAGGAAATTGTATTTCTGACGTTTCATGACGTGATATAAGCCACTTTTTCAGATTAACGTGGCTTACATTAAGTCACAAAACGTCAGAAATATGATTTTCTACTCATTGGGATATAACAGAAATATATATACTTACTTACGCCTGTTACTTCCAATGGAGCATAGGCCTCCAACCAGCATTCTCCAACCCACTCTGTCCTCAGCCTTCCTTTCCAGTTCTATCCAATTCTTGTTCATTCTTCTCATGTCTGTCTCCATTTCTCGCCGTAATGTGTTCTTTGGTCTTCCTCTGCCTTTGGCCTTCAAGATCCCATGTGAGGGCTTGTCTTGTGACGCAGTTGTGTGCTTTCCTCAATGTGTGTCCTATCCACTTTCAACGGTTCTTCCCGATTTTTTCCTCGAATCTGGTTTGTTTTCTCTCAGAGTTGGTGATTGCTGATGGTATCTGGCCAACGGGTCTGGGGCATCTCATGTAGATGATTGTCTGTAAATACTTGTACGTTTTTGATGATGGTTGTAGTGGTCCTCCAAGTTCCAGCTCTGTAGAGTACAACTGTCCTGTCGTTCGTACTTAAGATTCTGACTTTGATTTTAGCTGACCGTTGCTTTAAGTTCCATATGTTCTTCAGTCACAGGATCACTGCACTTAACTTTCCAATCCTTGCCTTTACACCCGCATCAGATAATCCTTGTGTTGTTGATAGTGCTGCAAAGGTATGTGGGAGTTTCAACATTTTCCAGAGCTATTCTGCCAAGTTTGTTTGAGTTGGTGTCATCCGTGTTTGAGGATCGTGTTCTTTCCCTTTTTTATGTTGAGGCCCACTGATACAGAAGCTGCTGCTACACTGGCTGTCTTGACCTGCATTTGTTGATGTGTATGAGGTAGAAGGGCTAATTCATCTGCGAAGTCCAAATTGTCTAGTTGGATCGAACCTGTCCATTTTGTTCCGTGCTTCCGCTCAAATATGGAGTTCTTCATAATCCAGTCAATCACCCGAGAAAAGAGAGAGGTGGATAGTAGGCAGCCTTCCCTGACACCAGTCTTTACATCGAACGAGTCTGTGAGCTGTCCTCCATGTACGATTTCTCAGTTTAATCCATCATAAGAATTCTGTATGATGTTGACTATTTTCTCGTGCACGCCGTAGTGTCGAAGAAGTTAGAAAAAATATATATGTTACATTGAGGTACTTTTCTTAGGGGGCCACCCCCCGAGCCTTCGACCTAGAGGTCTAATTCCTAAGACAGCTAAGCAACGTAAGGAATTACAGTCCCATGGTAGCTGGATGCCAACCATTGGTTCATACGCCATTTGTTCCCTTAGGATCCTCGAGTCCATGTCCACCATTAGTTTGGATTCAGGGTTTTTCAACTCGCCTCCGTGTCCACTAACCCGGTTAAAGCTCAGGACATTCACTTCTCATCCTTCCAATTTCGTAAAAACACCCGACTGGTTTCATCTCATGCTTAATACTAATATCTCTTTCTGTTGTGAAGCGATTTAAAGAACTACAGATAGTTCTCATAATAATTGTTAATCCATCTGACTTGACTTGCCTTCACCCGTGTTGTCATCACTCATCGTATGTGTATTTTATCTGCACAAATGTTTAGGTCTTCTGAGTTTGCGAAACGAGCAGGTCTTGATGGCGTCGCGTATATATTGGCCATGCGTTTTCGTGTTTTCCAGTTGTTTGCACTCACTCCAATCTTCGTTATTTGCACTCCACTGTTTTTTTTGTCTCAAGAATCAGGTAAATCAATCATTTCTTAGATGATAAGTGTTTCATACAAACCAAAAGTCTAAGCATTTCTGTTCTATATAATTTTTTTCTGGTTAGCGTTTTCTAGTTAGTTTTCTACGGGATGGGGTTACTAACACCATGCCCAACTCTCCTCCCTTATCCGGGCTTGGGACCGGCAGTAACCCCAGAGGGGCTCCAGGCGGAGTTGTTCTATATAATGCTTGCTATATATATAGCCAATGTGTTTGATTGCTAGACTCAGTTTAGTCAACTTATGTTATGGTTTCTGACACAAATATAATACTATGTAAGCTTTTTAATGCCACTTTTCTTGTTATTACTGTTATCGGTGGATTGAATAAAGGTTTATAAATTCGAGACTGTTTTCGGAAAAACAACTATGAGGTTTTTATATTTATCAATTACATGCATGCATATTTACGCTTGATATAAGTTTGCATCAATTTTTAAAATTTTTTTTACAGAGAATGAATTTCGACGTATCACAATAGCTAATCTTGGAATAACAGATGTGTAAGTAACCTTTACTGATTATTTGGGCTCTAGTTTGTTCATTAGAAAGTGTGGTTGTATGTAAATGGCGAAATTTGGAACGATTCTTATATGAATATTCAGTTTTTTTGTTCATACGACACTGTTTTTTAAAGCGAACTCCGTTACTGCTTTGATCTTAGTTGCAGTAAGATTATACATAATATCGTGGTACAAGTGAATATTTGTTTTAGTTATATGATGTATTCACATCTAGTCACGATATTAAATTGTTAGTAAGTGTTGGTATATATATCTGTTACGATCAGTCAGTCATATGTGACGTGATCGCATATCATGGTACTTAGAGTAACATTTAAATAAGTGTTTTAACTGTCTATTTCAGTATAATATAATCTCGAAAGCGATTTCCATCACAAACTACTGTCAGCAGAAGATGGTAAAATGCAGAGTCTTTTGGTAGCACTGAGCAACAATCCCAGGTTGCTTGAAATGAGCTTCTCTCCCTCTAAATACAAATTGTTGTTTCAGGACTGGTTTGCGTCAACGCTTTATTCAATAACCCATTGCTCCACTAAATTGTAACTGCGGCTCTACGAACCTGATCATTTTATTTGTGTAGTAGTTAACATATTGAAAAATCTATTCTGAATTTCATGCCTATTTATTATTATGTTTTAAGTTTTTACACTGTGAAATCTTCCTATGTGCCACGTGTTACCAATCTATAAACTCTTCCAATTTCCGCCCTGTTTTCTCATTGATCACTTTTGATTGATTTTCATTCTTTAAATACTTTTTATTAAATTTCTGTGAACTCAAATCATAGATAGTTTTTTCTTTACTGTGTAAATCAAAACAAGTTAGTATTAGAAACGTAGAATATTGCTTTTCACCTTAATTCTAATCAAATTTTAATTTAATGTATATAACTGTAAATATAAAGTATTAAACAAGAGATTACTTATAGGTTAATGAACGCAAAATATTGATTATGGACTTGTTCATAATACTAATAATAATGTTAATAACATTTCAGTAATTGTTATATTAGTAATCATCCGAGTAATAATGACAGTAACACACACAAAAATGATACATTTCACATAATTAAAAAAAGCTGTGTAACACTTTAAAATGATCTATATATAAATAAGCCCCATTTTAGTACATGTGTGTTAGATAAGAATAAAAAAAATGAACAAAGGGCAAAAGAAATGGAATGATGAGAATTGATTAGCTTATTTTCGTGAACTATTTCATAATTGCTAGTTGATTAACGTGACAGTTTTCAAATTATATTTTTTTTGATAGTTGTTACCGATTCGAGTACTTTACTTAGATTTCACTATCTTAACAACATTGTGAATGTATTCAGAGGCTAAGAAATAATACAAACCGTGTTATACAAACGAACTAGATAAGAGATAAAATAATTAGTTTTGACAAATTAAAGAAATTTTGACAAAATATATTCGATGTTTGATTTCATAAAGTTTTTAAAACGTATGCAGAATACAAAAATAAGAAAACAACGCACTGCGGTAGTTGAATAATTCAATGTGGTGTTCATTGGTATCATGGAGTGATCTAAGTTAGACCGTCATTAATAACCTGGCAGCATTGGAAAACCGTTTTTTTTTCTAGTATGGGACCCGGCAGTTCGGATTCACCATCGCACATGCAGAAGTCGGAAACAATCCATTTTAGTCTCTTGTACAAAGGCTTAACCGCTAGACCGCTTAACTGACATCCCACAGTGTTAATGTCTAACTTTAATCAATATGGTTTCCAAAAAGGGTCACAGTAACCCAATATCTAACTTAATTGTATGTCATTTAATTAATAGTGGCTACATGCTGAACAAAAACAAGCATTTGAAACTTTTTACTGTATTTCATCACATCTTTTTAATACTCATCAAACACATTTTATGTTTTAGTCAAGCTTTGTATTATTGGTGTGACACTCCTGGTTTATATATTAGCATTAGAATTTAACTAAATAACATGATTCAATTTCTCAGTATTATATAACTACTAATGATTATGTGTAACTTGGATTTATCCTTATGGTACTTTACCATGAGAATAACAATCCTCGTTAGCTTTGTCGATTAGTGACATTGTATTAGAATCAAATTCTCTAGATTACTAAATCGCAGTTAGTCTCTCTTTCTTTTAATAATATTTCGAAACGAATTAGTGGCAGTACATTGAACTCCAAATGACTGCCGAAATAATTCAAAAAACATTTTTTGCTTTTTATCGAATGAGCGCTTGTTTAATGCCATTTTTTTGTCTATGCAAGCTGGTTTTCTTAAGAATCACTGGAAGCAGTAGACAACAGTTTACGCCTAAAATTACCAGTACAAAAACACCCATTTATTATGTCGTTCTTGTTTTTTTTTTTGAGTTCTCTATGCTACATGGCCTAATAGCGATGTATTGATGGTCGTTCGGGACATTATCAGCGCCTACATGAGACATTCATCTTAAATACTAATCTCTATTTGTTGAGTAACATTCAGTTTGTGTTTCACATGTGGTCACACTACATAATACTTCTAACTAAGGATGAATGGCGACTGAACATAATGTATGAACCCTGGTTTCCTTTAATTTACAATCATATAGATTCAGTCTAAGCCAAGGTTTGAATGAACGATCTAACAATGACTTATCAGTTTACTACTGTTTCATACTAATTATATTGCTCGTGTATCCAATGGTTTTTTTCACGAACGGTTGTCGGATTCATGCGATGTTTGTTTTGTTGTATCTGTCAACAATAAATTCTTCCCCTCTTAAGAACCAAAATCGTCAAATAATAAGATCACAAGACAATCATCTAAAAAAATCAGGAATGATAATCCACTTCAAAATATAACTTTTGATACACATTAATTGGTAAAAACGTTTAATAACACTTACTGTTGACTTTTTCAACGTCAGTTCATGCTACGTAAATCAGATCAATCTATTTTCAACCGTTTATCAAGATTGAACCTGAAGTGAAGTCGGCCTTAAGATTTATATCCGTAATCCTTGAAATTTCGGTAATAATAATATTTTTGGCACAGACGGTGTTCAGATAAATCCCTGCCATAAAAAGTGTACACACAACACTGCAAATTTCCACTTATCATTATTTACGTATATGTTTAGTTAATATTGAATTTATTTGATACTAACAACAATAAAGACGTGTTATAGTAGATGGAGAGGTGAAGTTTGCAAAATTCTTTGTCAATCAATAGATTATGTAAACCGGTAAGTGATAAATTTGGATAATCCAATGAGAACATCCAGGCTATCAGAAAGTCATAGATTATTTCCAAAAGTAACTAGTGTAATCTATTTTTGGTACGTAGTGTCTGACAAAAAATTTATATATTTCTGAAAAAAACTCAACATTAATTAATATATGGTATCACGGAATTTTTATACAGCTAAATAATTTAGCAATTAAGTCATTATTGCATTCTTTCTCACTTTAAAATTAAATCAATGTTTTAATTATCTAGCATTCATTTGATTCTTTTCAATTTTCCTCTTCATTTCATTAGTTCAAGAGGATGGATATTATACACCACTATTATCATATGTATAATATTATATTTTATGGTGACTGGATTATGCTTAACCGAAGCATACATCTGGCCAAGAAAATTGAAAATATGTAATAGTTGGAAAACATTACCTTTGAATAATGATAATAACAATAACAGTGGCAGTAGTGATAAACACCAAAAACCTAATTCATCGTTGACTAACGGCAGTAGAGAACAAATTAATCAAGGGGAACAAAAAGCCATAAATATCTCTAATAGTGATGACGATAATGACGATGATTGTGAATGTGATCGTATTAATGAGGTAGGTGAACAGAGTAATTTGTAAATATGAAATTCGATTCTTAAGTTATCTTGTTTTTCGAAACTCATGTCTGTTGAGTTGATTATCTATTAAGTACTGCTACTTTTACTATAGTGAACGAAAGCTCAGGTACAGTAATCCAATTTATTATTTTATGCAAAATCACACAATGCCCCTGTAAAATATGAAAATCATATATTGAATACATCACTTGCACATTTTCCTTGTGTTTTCTTTTACCTTATCATCCTCCTGATTCTGTTATTATTCCGATCGCTCTCTGTTTTCCTTACTCTTCTATTTATTTCACTTTTCTGCTAATAAACATCCCACTTCCAATTCCTGCCATATACTACTTGTATCCGTCCATATAAGTAGCGCACACTATTATTATTATTACTACTACTACTACCACCAAAAATAATAGTATTTGTGTTCACAGAATCCGTTGTTTATATTATTATATTACAACTCAAAATATAAACATAAACCGATAAACCATATCTTTCTCATCGTATGACCACTGTTTTGTTCATTCAACTGAAGCATTTAAATATTCGTATAATCTTGTCTTATTGACCGTACAGTGTTTGAATCTCCATACTTTTAAGTTATCCGCAAACAACAGAACAGATAATTTGGAAACTTTTGTTAGGTCGTTTACATAAACTAGAAGAAATTAAAATAGACAACATGGCCAAGTGAATTCGATTATAGTTTGTTCTTTCTCTTATATGCTATTAGTGTAGTATTCTAGATAGCGATTCATTGTCATTGGTTAAAGACTTGTTTAAAACAATAATCATGGTGTATCCATAGTATGAAGTTAAATCTTCGTATTTAAAAGCCAAAGATTAATCTAATCAGATGACTACGTTCAATTATACTTGGAACGCGCCAGTTGTATATCTCACATTTTTTCGGAACAAAGAAATGGTACATGCGTATCTAAAGAGTTTCAGTCAATCAAAGCATGAGGGAGCTTTCTAGAATATTAACGTGGTATGCTACTATTGGTCAGTAGCATAATATGTCTCTTAGCGGATTGGCCAAAATATAATGTTGATTTGACAAATGCTAATAATCTATAAACACCCGTGTTTTTCTGTACAAGAATGAACCTTCGGAGTAAAGTGCTTTTCGCTTAATTTGCGCCTTTTCTCTCGTGTTCAGGTCGCTGCGTAGTTCTAGCTTGCGGGTTACCAGAATAGCTTAGGAACCGAATAAAGCGTTCAAATTGGTAAGACTTATCAATATGTATTGTAAATAATGATAAAAAAGACTATGTATGTGCAAATGTATGTCATGTGTTATCAATAAGCAAGAAGATTAACTCTAATTTCACCGAATACGTAAGACTCGTAGTACGGAATGTGTTGAGGAAGGACTAGGGTTCTGCAGAACAACGTTAGCTGAAAATTGCTATCCAAGCCGGTTCTTATAGAAAAATATGAGAAATAGTCGGAACAAAGAATTCACGGTTTTTATTTTTTAAAAAAATAACTTTATGTCCATCTGTATTTTAAAAGTGAACAGATTTTGATGTCCCTGAAAATCCGCTGTCAACATATATTAACAGAAAGCTTTGCGTGGCAATGCTGTGACTAACATTCACTAGCAGAAATTTACTTTTCGTATCCATGAAACATAATCTCTATCATTTATTCACCTCTGTTAGCATCTATCGGTTCACCTACTTTTGTGGAACAAGGCACATAGACCATAGCTAGTTCTTGATTTCAACTCGGAAATGAAGACATATTCCAATGGGATTCTGTAAAAGATGAGTGGAAAGCACTAACGAGTTCTATTCCCGAGCGTCTAGTCAATTCGAATCACTCCACTGATTCACTGGTTAATTTTAAGGTTGTCTGTGAAATCTATTCAAATCTACCAAGATTTTGTGTTCAACTCCTTAAAATTGCAGATGTACTTGTCATCCATGACATGAAGTCTAAACTGTGTGTACAAAAGATTTACGTCTTATCGTCGTTTTTACCGTTGTCTTTAAATATAATCATTTTTTATTTTCATTTCATTGATTCCTCATTTAAAAGTTTCCCTCTTTAATGATTTGTTATATCCCCATAATCTTATGATTGTTTCTGATGTCACTTCATTTTATCCAATCCCACTAAAAAATTTAATTATTATGACAAAAACATCTTCCTTCATTAACATTATAAGCCATTGTTAACTTTTTGATTTGACTTAAGTTTTTATTTGTACGCAATATTTTTCTTATCATTTACGCTATGTCATCTAGTGTTATAATCTTTCTAATTTTCACCATTTTTATTTATTGTTCATCTATCTACAAGGAATTATTATCTAAATTATATATATATATATATATATATATATATATATATATATATATATATATATATCTTGCGCGGTCAATTGTTTAGAACTACTTGTACTATTTTGATGTTGGTTGTGGTAGTTCTCTAAGTTTCAGCTCCGTATAGTATGACTATCTTGACGTTCGTATTGAAGATTCTGACTTTAAAATTGGTTGACAGTCGTTTTGAGTTCCATATGTTCTTCAACTGTAAGAATTCCATCCTTGCTTTGCCAATCCTCACCCTCACATCGCTGCACCCGATCCTCGTTGTTCATCAATGATGCTGCTGTCCATGTACGTGAAAGTCTCCACCTCTTCCAAAGTTTCTCCATCAAGTGTGATTGGGTTGGTGTTCTCCGTGTTGTATTTGAGGATGTTTCTTTTTCTCCTGTGCATGTTGAGACCTATTGATGTAAAGGCTGCTGCTACACTTGGAATGTCTATATCAGCTGTCCTCCATGCACTACTTTGCAATGTATTCCGTTTAATTTTCTTATAGCGTTGACGATCTTCTAAGAAGCTCCATAATGTTGAAGAAGGTTCCGGAAGGTTTTCATAAGTACTCTGTCAAATGCTTTTTCATAATCAAGGAATTCTATGTAAAGTAACAGATCCCCTTCAGTTAATTCGGTCTGTATATCTTAGGTACACAAAGAAACGGGATAATAATCCTGTAGAACTTGAAAGACTCCAACTTAGATCGGCAGTAACAGTGCATGCTGTTTTCAATAACCATCAAGTCACTATTAAAAATATCAAAATAACACAATAAGGCTTTTTCAACTACAAGGAATGCCAGAAGCTGAAACTTTTCATGTATTGCTAAATCTTAAATACCCAAATGGAGAAGAAAACTTCACTATCTGTCCGAGCTATCATGTCATATTCTATTCACATCTCACACTTTTATCATACATACAAATTGAACTATATTCTTTCACACCACAAATGTTACATGTTTCACCCATTATCACACAGCAATACGCAAGCATGTCTGATAAATCAGCTTGTTCGAAGTGACATGACATTGTCTTGGTCAGTATTGCAATTACCATTACCTAGTGACTAGCTTCGAGAGGTAATTCTCGGAGTTCTAATAAGAAGTCGTGTCCAGTGCAGCTTTCCGTATCGGGTGTCAGGCAGTTACTCACGGAAGACAATGGAAGCTGGTCGCACAATATCATGGATTGATTGAACGTGGACATTAACACCGTTGGATGCCAACTCAGTGGTCTAGAGGTTAAGCGTTCTCCCGGGAGATCGGTGGTCCTGAGTTTCGTGTCCCGCATATGAGATCTTGAATGGGCACTACCAAGATGTCGAATACTGTGACGGAACGGTCGTCCAGTGCTTCCAGGATTTCAATGGTGGTCTATCACTGATCGATTCATGATCTCAATCAAAAACCCAACCATCTCTGCACAACCCCATACTAACAAATATTTTTGGTTTGCTCTCTTGTAATATTTAAAATTTAACTGATTTAATTTACACTGAGTCAAGAAACGTCGGGAAATTAGATTTTGCTACACATTGGGATACTACAAATATATTATTTTTGTTAATAACAATCTACTCAGTACTCAGTTTTTTCGAAATTATCAAGTCAAACCTTGGTAAAGATACCTACAATGCTCCATATTGTTACGGCTGCCTTGTACATTAAGGTCACATTGATATTTGATTTATGTTTTAGAATCTCTCAGTCAGTTAATAGGTGCGACGATAGTATGTTTACGGTGATCATAAGTCGTATATAATTTTATCATTTTCACTTCTATGCGAAACATTTTACGATCATGGTTCTTTTTTCTCTCAATGAAGCAGTATCATTTTATTTCAATTTTCCTAAATATTTTTAGTTTATTCCCGTTTATTTTACTTCTAAACATGACAAAATTAAGGTGTGTGTATTAATAAAATAATCTGACAGCCGTGTATTAAATGGTGAATATTTTGTTGTGACAAGATTTATTTTCCAATTCAGTTCTTAAATATTTACTTAGTGTATCACTACTTTGAAATATGCGAGAAATTAGCTTTGTAACACATAACACACCCTTGTCACAGTTGTAGAAATTTGTATACTATGACTGGATCTTTGTCCTGTCGGTTTGTGTTGTAATTGATTAACAACATTTTGTGAATATGCATTTGATATGTTATTTTGTTGCTATTGGCTCGTTTTCTTTATTTAAGTGTGTTTCTGTCATGAAATGGATTATTTCATAAAAACTATATCTGAAGCACTAAAAACCTTTTTTTTAAATTCTCATTTTGAAATTTCAAGCCACACGCTTTCAGCTGAATTCGGTACTGCAAATTTGTCACCTTCATCAAGTGATTCTCGAGGAAACTTTAAAGTTTTGCAAATAGTACGCGTTTTTACCCGCATCATCTTCGGTTGGAGTGATAATAAAGCCCCTGTTTCCCTATGTAGTATTTTTACATTTATTATTATTAAGGGTTTCAGTTATCCTTCAGTGGCCCTATATCTGACTCCAATTTAATTGTATGTTGACTGTTATCGAAATATACATATTTTCAATTTTCGTATATTGTTATCGACTTAGCTCGCGCTAGTGAATAACGGAACTAAATAAGCCGAATACGTGGATGAAGTTTGAGTGTGTATATTTCATGTAATCGTTGATTTGAACTAACAATCTGTCGGCGAAATGACGCACATTGGAGAGAACATTTGAGCCAACTCGTTTTAATCAAGCGTGACTTGATATTTATAGTCAAACAAAAATAAGCTACAGACATGTGATGAGTAAGATCGGGTGTGCGCATACATATGCCTACATAAAAACAGTCATGGTTGACAAACGAATAATCAAGAAGATCAAAATGTGACTCAAGAAGAATGAATAAATCGGCCTGTTCGAAAGCTAGGATGAGCCATATGAGCTTGCATAGCACTACAATCCTGTCATTAATATTCAAGACTGAATTTTGGTCGTTCTTTTTTTGTGTAAATGCGTTTGGTATAGGGACATTCAGCTGATTAATCTCAAATACGATAAAAATTACATCCCGGACTCTCATATTAATTAAATTTGTTTAAAGCTAAGATAAGGATTTGGGCAGGATAATATGAATTCATGGTATATATATATATTAGGATGTAACTCTGAGGTATGATATAATGTTGAACAATTGACATTGATACCGGAAGGAATTAGGAGTACAAGGATTATCTGTATAGGAATAGGTGTAAAGTGATTTAGCGATTTGAACACGGGATGAGAAGCCACGAAATATAGTGAATTAATATTAATCTGCCCCGATCATTGTTTTGACTTTAGTCAAATCTACAAAAGAAACTAATAGAATAAAATTAATTAAATTTCATGTATTCCAAGCAATTTGGTTTCATAATTGTGGTACATGTTTCATTAACCATATATCCACGGTCCAACTAATCTTTTGTGAGTTTTGTTCTTTCTTCTTTATTAAAAAAACATGGAGTTGTTTACAGTCGTTTTTCCAACTAGTTTTCAACGGCAATATTTTATCACCATTGACATTCTGTGTATTTTTCACACAGATCGCTATTAAGTATCATTCTTATATAATTTCCTTTTTGTATCAGATACCAAATGTACTCATGCTAACAGGTGTCCCAACTAGCACTACAGTCAAATCATTTGTAAAAAGAATAACAGAATTCTTCAAGTAAGTTTTTATACTGTTTTCGTTTTTGAGTTTCATTCTACTGCGAAGAATATGTATAGTTTTAAATGTTTTCGATTACTTGATGTGCACTACTAATATAAACACTATTGGTTAATGGCATAAAATATTCAAGCATTGTTTCTTGTAAATAAATTTAGTATCTTCAAGAATAACCATTACCATATATAGTCGGCTTTATTCTGCAAAATTATTCTTGCAACATTTGATTTCTTATCGCATACAACTACTTAAAAAAGAAATAATATTATCCGTTACATTGGATTTAACATTGTTCAAGGTTTTAAAAATGGTATACAGCATTATATGCTTCTCATGGTGTGGAAATGAATGTCGTACCAGATACTTTATTCTTTCTTTAATTACTTTAAATGTACGCTTATATGTGTGCTTTTTCTAAATATTTTGTCGTGACTAGTTTAGATCAATACATGATTAATTGGTTTATTTAACTGTATTATAATCTGTTTTATTCATGTTATTTCTGTGTATAATGATGATGTTAATAATACTACTACTAATGGTAGTAATACTGATAATCGTAATGACCAAAGCATTCTACGATAGCTATCATCGTTTAGATAATAATCATAGTGTTCTGTTTATATATATATATATATATATATATATATATATATATAAGTTCATGTCTTTAACGGTTGACTAGAACTTCAGCAAATCTTCCATGACAATGGGCTACTACTTACTACCACCACTGTTACACACATACAAACTTTTCACTATACAACAATGTAATCACACTACTGTGATCCATTGAGAAGAATATACACCCAAAGTCTAAACGACTTGTAACTAACGAAGAATCGTAATTGAATAGACCCTGTACTGTTCGCATGATTCTTTTGCATGAGCAATAGCTATTACATCTTATCTGGTGAAATTATCTATTTCACATCATTTGTGTTCACTAATTTTAACGAATAACCAGTGTAATGAAGTAATAAAGCTAAGGTAATTTGATCACGCTTAAAATCAAGTTTCTGATCTGCATTTTATATTATGAAGTTCACATGATAAGGTGTTTTTAGTTCTTTTTAACGTTGTCATTCACACTATAATTTTTATGATTATTTCCTTATTCTTTCTCAAATCATATTGAAGATGCTTTCAGTTACCGTTACTTCTTACTGCACAAAGTTTAGATTAACGGATATGTTATTAATTAGTATGTTTGTCACTATTTAATCAGGTTCTGAACTTAGACGGTAGATAAAGTATTTCTTCTACGCGCACAGGTTTATGCACTTTTTATTAACACTGTACATTTCGAAATTGTAATTAATGGAAAGTTGACACTCGCAACTAGTAATTTCGGCATATATACTTGGTCTTTATAATTGATCGATGTCCTTAACCAATAACGATAGTTAGGTACCGTCTCATTCTCGACGATATTGACTCATGCACGCTATGGATTGCCGTTAGAATTAAAAGTCTGGCAATCCTCATTTCGCTCATGTACAGAATCGTTGTTCATTGGTCTAAACTCCTGAACTATAATTTTACAGCTGTTCATTACTCTATTTTAGTGGTTTTCTGTTATATCTCGGTGAAAATAATGATTGGTAACTGTTGGGAGCTATTTCTGGACAAATACTATACACATGTATTTTATTGTATAATTGTTAAGTAACTAAACTATTCACATTCGTGTTCCTCGTATTACATGCCTTATTTTGACCTATGAATTATTATTATTATTATTATTATTTGATTTACCATTATTGAGTTATGCCCAGTCTATCAATTACTATCTCCCACATTCACAGTTACTTTTGATTAACTCTTTTACAAATTTTATTTTCTATTTTATGATACGAAGTGGTCTTTTTGGTTTGTATATAAACCCAGTATGTTTGAAATACATGATTCATATCGCAGAGTCTGAGATTGGTGTTCTGGCTTAACAGGCAGGGCTAGACAGAAAGCAGGACCAATAAGGAATCTAGACTGCTCGTACGGGTTTCATACGTCATTGGTCCGGTCGATAATTCACTGTTCTTTAATTGGCGGTATCATTAAGTTATACATTAATGGGGCACAAGGCCATAAGTTATAACATTCTCTACCATTGATACTGTTACTACTTCCACTACCTTGACATTTGCCTTAATAATTTCATTTAATTGTGCTGATACGGAATAGCCACCTAAACTAACATGCATGTATGCTAAATTTTACGTTACAACTGATTGACAGGATAGTTTCCTAGCTGATGTTAAATGTTATAACGTGAAAATGATGCTGCTGATTAAGGGTAGCGAATTATTGATCGGACCAAAGACGCACAAACACGTAGAACAGCCTAGGGTTCTGATTGGTCTCGCCTCACTATCTAACCCAGCCAGTTGAGTCCAGAACACAAGTCACAGCCTCGGAGATATGAATCATTGTATTTCAAACATACTTTGTTTATATACCAGTCAAGCAGACCACAACGTCCCATAAAATAGAAAATAACATTGTACAATAATGGCCAGTAGGAAAATGACACGTTAAACAAATATTCACCAATAAGATGATACCATTTCATGTCCAAGGATAACATTAGGCTTAACAGGATAATTCTTGGGATATTTTCCTGAATATCCCAACATTAAATCATAAGGAGAACGCCTTCAGAAAGCATCTTTCTTCAGAATGTAAATAGAAATTATTAGCCCGCGAATGCCCTGGTACGGCCGAAAGTGGGGAGAGTCCGCTCTCCCTCTCGAAATACTCTCACACGGCCGCGCGTATACAGCCTCTACCAGGGAAGTCCTACTCATTGCCTTCTAGTGGCAGGGGTGTTGTTTACGAAAATGAGAGGACGAAAAGCGAATGTCCGGCGCCTTAACCGGATCACAAACCTATGGTGCACATGGGCTCCAGTATCCTGCGGGAACAAATGGCGTATGAACCAATCGTTGGTCACTGGCTACCATGGGATGGCGTCTCCTTACGATGCTCCACTGCCTTGTGGGTTAGACCTTTAGGTCAAAGGTTCGGGGAGTGGCTCCCTAAGATAATCACCTGCTTCGGTTTGGGCACCCGGGCAGTATCACAGCCCACACACAAATGATAAACTCTTTATGTCTATGGAAATTACTTTTCTCGCTTCGAAAAACAATCAATTGATTCAAATTATTATCATTACAATTATTGTCATTATAAATACTATTATTATTATTACTATTATTGTCATTATTATTATTATTATTGTTATTATTATTATTATCATTATTATTATTTTCCACATTATTCACCCTCTTTCATACTTATACAGCGGCTCGTCTTTGGTGGAAATTCGACTGTATCTAAACGTTCTCGAGTCACTGTCCGGTTGAAAATTGTATGTTACCACCGAATACGAGAACTGAAGCAGTTTTTTTGAAACCACGTGCACCATTCAAACTGGCTGCCTTCAACGTTCGCACACTTATGCAGGTTGGACAACAGATAGGGCTGGCTATGTCTTTGGAAAGTCTTAATATCGATGTCTGCTGTCTATCCGAGACCCGTATTGAAGACTCTGGTGAAGTACTACAAATTCGATCTCCATCTGTCACTTCAAAAAGCTTGTTTTACGTGCGCTTATCCGGGGACCCTGTGGCATCTTCGTCTGGTCTTGCTGGGGTTGGTGTCGCACTAAGCGCTAGAGCTGAGGCAGCACTAATCGATTGGATCCCCATTAACAGTCGGTTATGTGCTGTTAGATTAGAAAGTTCCATCAAAGTGAGAAGAGGTCGGCGTGAGAAACGATGTCTTTTCGTCTTTTTTTTTTTTTTTTTTTTTTTTTTTTTTTTTTTTTTTTTTTTTTTTTTTTTTTTTTTTTTTTTTTTTTTTTTTTTTTTTTTTTTTTTTTTTTTTTTTTTTTTTTTTTTTTTTTTTTTTTTTTTTTTTTTTTTTTTTTTTAGGCACAGAAGAGAGTCGTTTAGGTGGCCGATGGGGACTCGTTGGTCGCAGGTCAGATAACGGGGACCGTCTACTGCAACTTTGCACAGACCACAACCTGTTTCTGGCTAGCACTAACTTTCGGCACAGTCATCGCCGATGTGCCACCTGGCGTCCTCCCTCTGCATCTCAAGCCTGGACTCAGATTGATCACATCGCGATCAGCTACCGCTGGCGTGGTTGTGTACAAGACTGCCGCTCCTTTTGGAGTACCTATCTGGACTCTGACCATGCCTTGGTCTGCGCCAATCTTGCCTTACTTTTCAGTGGACAACGAAGTGACCGCCATCAACGGATTGATGTTAGCAAGCTGGTTGCAACTTCTGTTGCAAGTAAGTATCGAACCGAGCTAGCCTCTAGGCTAGCTACCACTCCACCGAAAAGTATAGATGAGCATTGGTTGCAATTGCATGACGCCATGAAAATGGCGGGAACAGTCAGTTGTGGGTTTGCGAAACGTCCCGCTTTTAAGCACTGGGTTTCTTCTGGTTCCTTACAACTCATTGAAGCCCGTCGGTCTACTCCGGGTGACCGTGAGTTTGACCATAAACGAAGGATGTTACGTAAGGAAATTGGGCAAAGCTTGCGTAAGGACCGAGAAGCCTGGTGGTCGATGCGTGCTAATGAGCTGGAAGCAGCAGCTGCATCTGGTAACTACCGGAAGCTCTTCCAGCTCATCCGAGCCACTGGCAGCAAGAAGTCTGGTGTGAGTGAAACAATCTGCGAGGATGATGGGATGCCAATCACTAACATCCATCGACGTCTTGGACGATGGGCAGAATTTTTCGAAGGGCAGTTCAACTGGCCTGCTGCTCCGGCAACATCGGTCAGACTGTCCTGCCCTCCATGGCCGGTGACGACTGATCCACCAAATGAGGAGGAAGTCCGCAAGGAACTCCAACTCTTGAAGCGTTACAAATCACCTGGCCCAGATGACTTACCTCCGGCTCTTTTTAAAGATGGTGGTGACTTTTTGACTAAGGAATTGACGACGTTGTTTACAAAGGTTTGGGAACTAGAGAGTGTACCAACGTCATGGAATGAGTCGATAGTTGTCCCTATCTTTAAAAAGGGTTCACGTCGTTCCTGTAACAACTATCGGGGGATAAGTTTACTTCCGATTGCGTCCAAGCTATTGGCTTCCGTCATACTTCGTAGGTTGTTCAAAACCCGAGAAAGATTGACTCGCGAGGAGCAGGCTGGGTTTCGTTCTGGTCGAGGATGTATTGATCATATCTTCACCCTCCGCCAAATGTTAGAACACCGCCATACTTTCAAAGGCCAACAATCGTAGTGTTTCTTGACATCAGGGCTGCCTTCGATTCGTTGGACAGGACTGTTCTCTGGGATTGTCTATTGAAGAAGGGTGTGCCTGAGAAGTTTATTAACATCCTAAAAGCCCTATATAAAAACACCTCAGGCAGAGTGAGGGCATACAACCACCTCTCTCCATTGTTCCATTCGAGCAGTGGGGTTAGGCAGGGTTGCCCAATCTCACCATTCCTCTTCAACTTTGCCATCGATGACATTCTGGAAACAGCTCTGATGAATGTAAGTAATGGTGGTGTGGATCTGTTGCCTGGAGAAAGACTTCTCGACCTTGAGTATGCGGACGATATTGTCTTACTGTGCGATAATGCCCAAGGCATGCAATCCGCACTTAATCAGTTGGCAATCAGTGTCCGTAGGTATGGTATGTGCTTTGCACCTTCGAAGTGCAAAGTACTTCTACAAGACTGGCAGGATTCTAATCCTGTACTCACCCTGGATGGTGAGCAGATAGACGTAGTCGAGAAGTTCGTGTATCTGGGTAGCTGCATAAGTGCTGGTGGGGGTGTGAGTGATGAGATCAATGCACGAATAGTGAAAGCCAGAGCGGCTTATGCCAATCTGGGCCACCTTTGGCGCCTTCGTGATGTTAGTCTGGCTGTAAAAGGTCGGATCTACAACGCGTCGGTGAGAGCAGTTTTGCTCTATGCTTGTGAAACCTGGCCTCTCCGAGTTGAGGACGTTAGACGACTCTCTGTGTTCGATCATCGCTGTCTCCGAAGGATTGCTGACATTCAGTGGCAACACCATGTCAGTAATGCAGAGGTTCGGCATCGTGTGTTCGGGCACAGAGATGATAATTCAATTGGTGTCACCATCTTGAAACACCGACTTCGGTGGCTTGGACATGTTCTCCGAATGTCGTCCCAGAGAATTCCACGTCGTGCATTATTTGCCGACTCTGGGACTGGTTGGAAGAAGCGGAGAGGTGGTCAGTGCATGACATGGTGTCGTGGTATGAAAGAAAGCTGCAAAGGACTGGCTTGTGTTGGTCCTTCACGACTCCCTGGTTGGGGTCTGAGAGATGGTGCTACACAGTGGCTAGAGACGTTATCAGATATGGCTCAGAATAGAAGCCAGTGGCGATCCTGCTGTAACCTTCTTTTACTTTCTTCATAAAAAGTGGTTGTGTCTTCCTTACCTGAAAGATTTCTTCTGATTGTACCTTTCCGTTCCCCATTTTTGCCATTATTATTATTACACCACCTTACATCATTCTCTTCGTTATTGTTCTCTTTTTCTTTTGCGCTCCTTAGTTTTTTTTTTCTATTTCTCTTCGAATTCTCATTGTTTTGTGTGGCGCATATATATTGGCGCTCTCTTGTACCAATATTCATGTGTTCAAATAAATAAATAATCATAATACTCATCGGTAAATAGAAGTTTTGAAAAAAGAATTATTATCCTTGTAATTTAAATGGTACTTTCTTATAAAACTCATTTATTGTAGAATTAATCATCCAGAATTGAAGGTAAAATGGATTGAACCAGTTTATTTAGTTCGAAATTTGACAGAACTTGAGCAAGCAAAGTGAGTTCATTAAACATAGTAAATAGAGGAAAGTTTATTTCTTAATCGCATTGTACATCATATAATTCTTTCTGTTATCAACACTTAATTGGTTAGTCTCGATATTTTAATGTTATACATTTTTTACTAAATGGGTATTATCCAGTACGTTTAAAAATGCAACTTTTTGTGAATGATATAACCCCTTAAGAGAGGTGGTAGTCGAAGCAATATTAGGATGAATTCTAAAGTAATCAGTCATTTTGATAAATTTGGATTGTGTAATAAGACGGAGATTATCAGAACTATGTAATACATTTCGAACAATCTGATCACATATATACTCGTTAAAAACTTATCTACGAAATTTAAATGGTCAACTATACAAATAGTCAGTTATAAGTTCTGTTAAACATAGCTAAGATATTCAGAGGGCGGTTCGCTTTTTGATTTGTACTTTATGTCGTATATGAAGCAAAGTTGCATCAATATGTAAAGCATGTATGATTCCTTTCACCACTCAAATGACTTACTAAATACATTCAAGTATTATATGCATGTATATGTTTTCATTACATTGGTAAAACTGTTTGTTTGTAGAGCTGAAACAGAGATTTATCTACGCGCTTCAGTTGAACAATTAGAAAAAACTGGCGAACAACCAACCTATCATAATTTCGGTACTATTTGTCAAACACTGGCTACGAGTAAATCAGACGCCAATGCAATTGTAGTGTATAATGAACAATTAGATGTGCTTGCAACACAAATCAACACTATTTATGCAATCAGTGGCCTATCGAACATTGAACTTTTGATGAAAGAAAATCCAGGAAAGAATCTTACTGATTTACTCAATATACCGCATACAGGGATTGTTTTTATCGGTCTAGAAAATTCAGGACAAGTTCTAAGGTCGGTAAACCCATTTTGTCAATGTTTCTATAATCTTTAGTTTATGTGATGAGTAGGGGACTTTCATATTTGATTTTATCCTTATCTTTAAAATAAAAGCTCGTCCATTCAAGCTGCTATACATTTTTGACCGTAATAATTTTATGAATGAATTTTTAGTTGTTAAAATAAAATAAAAGACTACTGATTGATAGATGATACGTTGTGGGCAAGTGATAACTCCTGACGAAATCGAATAATTCCAGGTCTGCTATGTTTGTAGAGATTACGAGATCATCTAAAATCAGCGAAGGGAACGAAAATTCAGCAACACGACCAGACAGTTAAACTATTCCGATGCACTCTAGCCCTGCTAACTAGAAGGATAAGACCAAGTTCAGATAAGGAGTAGATATATTACATGGGCAGTCAGAAACACGAACAAATCAAACACACAACAGCATATATATGCATCATAAAAAATCCTTCGGAAACGTCACAAAATAGCTTATTAAAAGAGGCAACGAAGCAAAGACATTTAAGGTACTTCCAAATGGGAAATACGATCTGAAGATAAAAGTGGATGTCTTTGGCGCGAAAAAGAAAAATTCGAATTTCCAAATTGAAATTACAAAAATAAGACATATATCAAGTAATCTCCGAGGATCTCGCATCCCTAACACTCCTTTTAATAGCATACGTTCTTGAAGTCCACCCTCATCTTAATCGTTTGTCGTCGTTGTCAAAGTGATCACCTTCTGGAACGTGGATCAATTCGTTGTTGTTCTTTCCCTTGCGTGGTAACTGCGGGTAGGTTGAAGTTGTCTAAAAGAATTTCGAGCGCGGAGTTTTCGCCTCTGGGATCTTCAGTTTCTTTCGCGAACGCTTAATCTCTTGACCACTAAGACGAGATCCAACATTGTTAATGTCTAACTTCGACCATTCCGCGACCATCACCGGTGGGCGACCGCCTCACACCGGAAACGGATTAGCTGCACTGGTCACGGCTTCTGAAACTCTGAGAATTACCTCGAAGCTAGTCACTAGTGAGGGTATGATAATTTTCACTTTGGGGTGTGAAAGCTGGTCGCGCAATATCGTGGATTGATTGAACGTGGACATTAACACCGTTGGATGCCAACTCAGTGGTCTAGAGGTTAAGCGTTCTCCCGGAAGATCTGTGGTCCTGAGTTTCGTGTCCCGCATATGAGATCTTGAATGGGCACTACCAAGATGTCGAATACTGTGACGGAACGATCGTCCAGTGCTTCCAGGATTTAAATGGTAGTTTAACGTTGATTAGTGCATGATTTTAATGAAATAAAAGGTTCAGGTAGTCTAGAAAGTGTAATGTTATTATATTAAATATGTACATTTATCCGTCATGCTTTAATAACCATATTTTTTTAACTTCTAAATAAAAATATTCTTTAAGATTTTCTAAAAAATTTTATACTCTACTTTTCGAATACCATATATAGACATCTCTTACCTATTTGTCACCTTTCGTTTACAAATTAATAACGTGACTTGTAAGCATAATACACTAAAATGCTTTTATAATAATTTAGTAATATATTTAAAATATACCAGCGAGTTGAAGATGGACTTTGTGATGTCTCTCGGCTTATTTTTGGTTGTTTCTTCAGAGGATAAATAAATAAAGCAAATCAAAACAAGTTTGATCAAGCTTACATCATGTTACTCAAGTTAAAGGCAAGACAGTCTTTGTGTGTATTTGTGTATATCTCAGTTGGTGTGGAAAACAATGTAAAATGGTGGAGCTAATTTGTATATGTGTTGATGGTGTTAGATTTGCACAATAGAAACCATTAATAATAATATAAAAATTACTCAAAAACGTTTTTCCAACTATAAAAAATACTAATGATTGAAGCTTTCCATAAATTCCTAAGCTCTATTGTGTTCAATGGAAACCGATGTTTAAGAATCCACCAAACTTGAACGATTTCTTCAAATAAACACATTTGGTCTGTTTATTTATTCTCTGGAAAAACGACTTACATATTAAATCACGAAATATCAGAAACACAATTTTCACCTCATTAAAATATTAAGATTATATTATCATCCCATTAATACAAACATTTTACTCAATGTCCAATGTATTTGAAATTATCAAGTCAAACCGTGGTAGTGGTGCTTACAACCGTTTTTGATTGCGTGTTTAGCGAAAAGACTGATTTACAATCATCCTACATTTTGATAGAATTGTCTATCTCTATAGAAAGTGCATTATATAGTTCCATAAACGAACTTCTATGTGTAGATATCGTTACCAAGGGTTGACTTGGTAATTTCGAATAAATTGAGCATTGGCTAGATTTTTATAAATAAATAATATATTTGTAATGATTGGAAAAATTAGATTTTCTGGTGTTTCGTGACTCAGTGTAAGCCACTTCTTCAGAGAATAAATAACCAAATCAAAATATTTTATTTTCTTATCCATTCACAATGAATAAAATCATTCAGTCATTCTCGTGAATTATGGATTTATTAATTGGTCAGCGTTATTATTGTTAGGTGCTAGCTTATGGGTAATGCTAGCCAAGATGATAAGTAGGTTGAAAAAAAAACCTGGACGCGATCAGAATAAACATAATAACTGTCAAAAGTCGATGACAGTGAGTATCCTAGAGTGTAAGCTTATTTCCTAAGTTCTGCAAAGTGTTTACAATCAGCATTTGAAGCCTCTGAATATTATAAACGAAATTCTTTAAGCTTTCTGTAGACTGATTAACATTCTGTCATTCTCCAAGTCCTAAATATTTTATAACTTCATGGCTAGTTGATCTACATTCATTCATGCTTTTGAATATTTTGATGTTTTTATTGATCCATTCTGTTTGTTCTTGTTGTAAAGCGTCACAATTACAAATACCTTATTGCTCAATCTATCTTTTTTTATGTACCATAATATTCAAAATCATGATACTTTTGTATTAATATATAAGTACATAACTTGGTTGGTCAGTTTTGAACTCCTGGGATTATGCAAAACCGACTATAAATAATTGATCAATCGTTGAAAGACAATGATTTCCAAACTGACAAGATATAATTCTCTCTTGATGTTCAAGTGTATAGTTTCACTGTAATCTTGTAATCGGATCTCTTACAAGTAGTGTTTCAGAGCTAAGGAAATGTAATGAAATAATTTAATGATTTATGAAAGGTTGTGAATATAGTCAATCACTTTAAATGGCAAGTTAGTGCATCATATTTAGGATAATACGTTTTTTTTAATCTTGTTCTCTAATTTCTTCCTATTTGTTTTTTTATTTCTCACTCCTCTAGATTTCTGTCTTCATACACAACTTGTCCGCTTCAAATATTTCCAACCAACAATACTATACATATGCAAAACTATTGTAAACAGCATCGTCCTTGGCGTAATTTATACTATATTAAGAAACCAAATCGATCTAATCTATTCAATCATGCTTATTTAGCTCCACCATCATCAGATTTGTTGTGGTATGAATTAAATTTTATTTTCTTTCTCTTACGATATTTATGTATTATATAGAAAGATAGAGAGGTCTGTGGAAGCTAGTCCAAACCAAGTTTTTTTTCAGAAATATATTATTCAAGATGATTTGGTTTAACATTTTTTAAAGTTGACTTCTTACCTGTTATTCTTTTGATCAACATAAATTACGTTGACAGTATAACTGGTTAGATATTTATTGATGATATTAATCTAAATGATAATCAGTGCAGTAGGAACTACTAGTTAATCTACTCACGGTCAGGTATTTTGCTCTTGTTTTTACTCAAGAGTACATCTTAATTTTGAAAAATACTTAATATTTAACACTGATCATTCACATTACTATAGGCGCAGGTTGTTTCTCAATTATTTCCTTGATGATGAAGGGTATATCATAGCTTATCTAACTCTTAATAAAAAAATATTCATTTTATTGTAATACACTGTAATACTTGCAAAGTAAAGCATTTAGTTAATACCACAAAATTCATTCACATTAGAGTTTCAAGCTTTGTTTGAAGCCATTGATATTGATCATTGTAAAGCGATTCATTAGTTCAGATGAAAACATATTTATTATTTGGTTTGTAAATCCTGTTGCTTGGTGTCAATTTGAAGCATGAACACATATAGTCGAGGTGTTCTAGGATGAGATTATCTGACAGCTATTATACCGACTAATACAAGCTTAATACTTACCAGTGATATTCATTTCATTATTTCAAATAAATTTTACACTCATTTACATTCTATGAAATTTTTAAAACACTTGGTCAGTACCTTTGCAAAGTGTATACAATATATAGCATATTTTAAAATCCCTAATTCAATAAAGCTATAGACTTATGTAACTATCCACAGGCTGAATATAACTTCCACAACATATCATGGATGTAAATGGTGGTTACGTGTAGTTTGGATTCGTGTAACTGTTGTTTTGTTGGCATTCGTCTTAACATCACCTGTTTATATACTTACTATTGTAAATTTCACTGGATTATTCGACTGGTTGGGTAGAATTTCGGTACGTACTCGATATATATATATATGGTTTAATTATTTTTATTCCTATTTACGTATTTGCATTCATTTCTAATTATCCAAGTGAAATCGTGTCTGTCTGAATTTGTCATAGCCAAACGTCTTTATTAATTAACCTTGTTGTGTTTGGATTGGCAATTTATCACGTTCTAACTTCTGCATTAACTACCAAATTCCTTGTACATGTGTCTTTTTACTGATGTTCGTTTGTTTTAACTAACATCAGTATCTCAGATGTGTGGTCGATGTGTTTAGGGTTTCTGTGAAAAAAATGTGTCAAAGCAAACACTTGTGCTGACAAACCGAAATACAAGATTTGTGTACCATTTACTTTAGATAACAGAAGGATGAAATCTTCACATCACAGCATTTTTTAAAAATCAGTAAGTATCTAGACTACAATGACTTTTTACTGATTGCAAAAAGATTTTACATATCAAACTTCGAAAATAGTTTCAAGACTTTTCTAGTTCTTTTTTTAAAGTTTCTCAATACTATAGTTGAAAAGTAATCAATCGGCACGTTCGAAGCACTGCATATTCATTTGAAGTGCCAGTTCCATTAGTAGTAAACTGGAAATTGTGTGGATTACTAAAATTTTCTATAAAAAGTTTTATGATAGGTCAACAAAATCTGATAATAATGTTCATCATAAAATATCATCAACTAAAATGTGTCAGTGATATGTGTATTTTTGACTTCATTGAGTCTTAGATCCACTATATTTATGCTTCTTGAGAATTTCTTACTTCCATTAAACTATTCGGTTGAAATCATTCATTTTTAGTCATTTTATTTTGTAACTTGATTGTGGTATGCCGTCCTCGTGATTTAGGATTTATAAGTCCAATTACAGTACGAATCGATAGCCTATACGTTTGAAAATCTTTAAATTGGTTTGAAATAGACATCCATTACTGTGCTCACTCGTACTACGTTAATGCTCAGATGGTGCTGCTTGTTGAAAAAAAGTTCCGTCATTGTAAGTTAGTTGTATGACTAGTAGTTTTAATTATGTTTAAGGAAATAATTCAATCGAAAATATTTCTTATTCATTGTTTATTAAATGATTAATACTGTTAAACTATCTAAACAATTTCTTTCAGCGTCCATTTATTTTTAAATGGGTCCCGGCAGCAATTTTAGCAGGTGTCTCATTAATTCTAACACGTCTAGTAATCATTAGTGAATATTGGACGAGACATAAGACGCGTGGAGGTTTAGAAAGTGTTATCTACCGAAATGCTTATTGTTTCTTATTTATTACAGTGTTATTATTACCTTCTCTTGGAATAACAGGGTATGTTAATCTTTTAAGTGTTCTTATAATGTTTAATCTTGGTAAAATTTAGACACTAAATGATGAGTTGTATAAATTAGTTTGAGAATTTTTGGAATAGTAGTTAAAAATGATAAGTAACCTTCGATATTCAGTAAGTAAATGGTGAGAAATCATAATTTGATATATTGTACGTAGTAAGCATTTTGTCAATTCTCAGTTTATTTTGTCATTAAGGGTAAGCCGAATAAAATAAATGCTCGATTGTTACCGATAAGGATGGATTTTACTGTTTTTGAAAAGGTTCAACTTTATTATTCTTTTCAATTAATTAGAAATACTTTATAAGTTAATTCACATTAAATTGTCAGATATATCTAAATAATTTTATGAGATTATATAATAAACCAAACGATTTTTTCTAACTCCTCTTCTATAATGGACCTATTTGTTACGTGGTGTTAAAGTTACTGGAATGTATGAAATAAATTTGGATATCTGTATATATTATTGCTAATGACTTTGTTTATTTAACGACTTTCTGTTGGATAACTCGCCTTTCTCTGGATCTTTATGTTACTTCCATAGTGTTGATAAATAGTGTAATCATTTCTTTTGAGATATTAATGGTTGGATGTCTAAAATTATTTGATATCGTCAGATTAATTATATATTTTCCCATACGTGGATTAGATCTTCCAAATTTTTAATTCTAATGACTTTATGCGTGATGGATGATAACACCTACCTGGGTGGTTTTATATGAAAAACAGTCCAATACATTTATTATTACACACACATCGACCTAGTCATCTGAAATTTTCGTAGACAATTTCCACTGAAAATATGTTTAGACATAATCTAATATTAAGTTAATGAAAATCCTGCATGTCTAGACACTGCCTAGTGCATACTACATGTATAGATGTGTATTCTTGAGTGCTTATGTATGATGATATTGTTTATATGGTCGTTTACTAGATGTATTCTGGACTCGTACATTTTTCACAGATATCTTACTAATGACAAATTCATTTATGTTAAATATGATTGGTTGGTATTTCTCATGTACTGTGTTTTGTTTTCCAGTTTTCCAGCTCTGTTACATCAACTTATAACAACTAAAGTGAATCATTCAAATCCATTTGCTTTTTATGTACCATTTCGAACAGAATGTATATTTTTACCAGACAGTGGTGCATTGTTCATCAATTATGTAGTAACATGTGCACTACTTGGAACAGGTCTACGAATTCTACGTTTGGGTCATATTTTCCAAAGTTTGATTAGACGACACTTTTACGCTCATACTGTGGCAGAAAGAAAAGTTTTCTCTGAAGTAATTGGTTTTCATATATATGACTTTGATCACAGTAATTTACTGCCACTGTTCCCATAAAATCCTTTTCTTGTCAATCACCAATACAAACTTCATTATTAGCAAATCGAGTTAGATATTATTGTTTAACATAAAATGAAACCTTATTCTCTATCAAAACAACATTCAAGATAATAAAAACCACAGAAACTTGCTACCATCAGCTTGATTTTAATGAGTATAAAGTATTTATTGGAAAAACTTCTGAACATTAAAATTACATCAGTTGAGGATTTTCACCAGAACTGGTTGTGAATATTTTTGTCTGAACACGTTAATTCATTCGAATCTCTATGCAATATACCAAAAGGTACCATCGTGAAGTGATTTATAGTAGGTGTCTAGTCACTGTAGTTAATTACTATTAAGTTGTTGATTAATTTCTGCAAATACAAAATATCTGAACTGAGTTGTATAAGTAGCTGCAGACCATTTTCGTCGGTGTCGGCACGAATATCTCAACGTTGATTGGCGATATTGATTGACATGGTTCAAAATTGGTCTCAGCCAGATCTGTATTCACTCTTTGTCCTAGAATACACTTACTTTTTATTCCCCAGATTTAATCTTTTTTCTTGAATTTTATTGTTTATCCCTAATCTTTTATAACATCATCAACATTGTAACTACTTATACTTCTCTGATGTCTGTCTGGATAATTTCGTTTTCTTATTCAAATGTAGTGTAACATACAGTACTCATATGTACAGGTTCTACGTTGCTTGTAACTAACTAACAAAGCAACCTTAACAAAAGTGAACAAAGAAATTAAGTCTAATTTTCTTCATGATTTGAACAATTGAAGCTGTTATGATTGGTCATCAATGTAATTGTCAATGAGAATAAAGTTGTACGACATTTGAATTTAAAGGTGCCTTGCATATTGAAATAGCTTTATTGGAACAAATACAAGACATGTGTAGAAACTAAATAAAAATTGTTACTTGTTTGTGAATAGTTTAATAAATTGCGAACAGTATTCAACATTAATAATAATGTCTCAGACTAACATATTACAGCAATGGGAAGCTATCTTGATATTTTTCTCCGTTCTTATACATGAAAGTAACGTGATAGCACTTTTGACTGAGATGCATTTCGTGATGTGGTCTGCGTTTTTCAACTAGGCTGGAGAAAAATCTGCTTAAATCTTGACTAGTATGATTAATTACACTTGTTCGTGAATACAATATCATGAAAAATTCACTTATTGAACAACTACTTGCGCCTGTGACCGACCCCTTGTGGAGGAGCATAAGCCGCACACCAGCATTCTCCATCCAACCCTGTCCTGGGCAGTCCTTTCCAGCTGTTATTCATCCTCTTCATATGTTTCTTTTTCCGATGTAGTGTGTTCTTTGGCCTTCCTTTTCTCTGTTTCCCTTCAGGATTCCAAGTTAGTGGTTGCTTCGTGATATAGTTTGGTGCTTTCCGTAATGTATGTCCTATCCACACTCAATGTTTTTTCCTAATTCCCTCTTGAGCTGGAAGTTGGTTTGTTCTCCCCCACAGTAGGTAGTTGCTGATGGTATCCGACTAACGGACATTATCTTGCTTAGAAGATTGTTTATAAATACTTGTACTTTTTTGGTGATGGTTGTAGTTCTCCAAGTTTCTGCTCCAAACATTGATGTTGAAGATTCTGACTTTGAACAACTCTAAATACGACATACCTAAAATATCATTCTTCGAGTGGTCATTAGTTGAGTTTTGTCTTTTTGGGGTCCTTTTGTGTCGATTCACTATTCAGTAATGTGTGTGTCGTGTGAATTCAACTCTCTCTATTCAATTGTCTTATTGCTGCGATCTATTGAATGCTGTTTCATTTTTATGATTGTTTTAATCATTTTTCTCAGTTTATTTAGTATTTAGTGGATTATTTTATTGTCGATCATCTATATTTATCTGGTTATTCAAGGCGAATTAAATGAACCAAATTTTAGGCTTATACTTAAAACGTCAAAAATCAATATTTTCTCCATCAATCTCACACCATTAGTGTTAAACGCTAAATTTTGGTGTCTCGTAGACTCTAGCACTCTAGTCCTTATGAATATTCGATAATAATACTTCTTTTTTTCTCTCACTCCCTCTACCACACGAATTAGCCTCAACCGGAAACATTCGCATTTGGAGAAAACTATGCATTTCTGTCAGTTGTTCATACAATTATTATTGCTTACACACCAGTTTGTCCAATCATCTACGTCTTTGGTCTGTTGTATTTTCTATTTAAATTTCTTATCGATAAGTTTATGCTTGTATGGATTCATGAGCCGTTGCAATCAGATATACGTGGTTGGACCGAAACGTTAGTTTCCTCAGTATTCATTAAAATTGATTGGTTTGTTTGTCGGTTATAATGTAAAATAAGATAGACGAGTGTATCATTAAGGATTATATGCGCGTCGTCTTGTAAATGTTATTACTTTGTCTAGTGTATATTGGTCCAAGATGTATTACCACATTAGCTCAGGGGGATGTAATTATTTAGAGAAAGAGTAGTAACAGTATCAGTAGTAGTAGTGGTAGTAGGAAAAATTAGACGTAAAAAAGAAAAAAAAGGTATATTGAGATTCCGGGACTCAGATTCTGAAAAAAGATTGGGAGTGTAAGTGCCTGCGTCATTGCGAACAACTCTGAGCCATGCCACACAAATTTGCTAACCATTTGTTACAATAATCATGCGGACTCCATCCAAGTAGTCTTCATCCATTATCATGGGTCAGTCTGCTTGTTTATAACTTCATGAATCGGTGCTTTATTTGACCTCCCCTAACTTTCTTCCAACCAACTCCTACACCATACATCATTGCCAGTTGAGGTATTCTATGTTTGGGCATAGACTACATATCCCAACCACATCAGTCGAAAAGAAGTCCATACCTTATGCCTTACTTCGACATTTCTCACTCGGTTATCTCACGATATTGATGAATGTCTTCTAATCTTAATGCTCATCTTTTACAGCCATGAAGTAGAATGGATCCACCTACTGTGTAGTAAACTCATCCTTTGATTGGTAGATAAATGTTGTATCCACACCATAAGTAACTCAAGCTGGTATGTTCAATCGAGCCTTCTTGATTATTTAATTATCATAAAAGTGAATAGAGACTGAGGAATCAAAATTAAGACACTAGATATCTGGTTGTCTAAACTTGTTGATACAAAATAAACCGCAACATTATTGCTTACTATTATTCAAATATCACGGCTACCGAAAAATATGTTGCGTTATACTTGATTGCGTAAAGTACTTATTTATAATGTCAGTTTAAAGCGTATATTTCATCTGCTTAATTCCTGTTTATAATTTAAAGTAACACTCTGGATGTCCAGAATTATACTGAGACGCATCAGTCTGTTTTAAATTATCAATATTTTCTCCAATCACAAGTTATGTAGTGTCTTTTTTCACTGGATTTTGGGTTTCTAAGGTTTCAGAGCAAAATACAAAGTGAATACTTTAAACTGTAGTTTTATTCGTTCATAAATAGTATCTATGTTCTTACTTATGAGAAACAGTAAGCGTTTTGGGACATAGCTAATTCTTTGTGTTTCACTAATCTGCTCTTTTATCAAAGCTTATATCGTACTGACGACATTCATTATATTATCAGTCAGTCAGTAACAACGTAGAACTTCGTACGTTAACGATGAATCTTAGTATTGTTTATCCTTAGTTTATTGTCTCACATCCTTATGCTTGACAGTCACTTGTATAATTGCAGTTTTGGGACAGTTAACGTTAATTTCTGATTGTGTATTTAGTACTGATCACTATTAATTTTTACCAAAAACCACGATATAGTTTAGTGTAGTTTTAATGCCAAATATACACTGATCACTGCTGTAGGCTAACCAGCTTGGGTTTATTTGTCACCCGGCGACCAGTTTATGTAAATAATCCGGTTTTAGTAGTATTATTTCTGAATACAACTTGAAACAAAATGAATGTCAATTACAAATGAGTTTTTTTTAATTTCGAAGATACGCAGTATTTATGTATCTCATGTAGTACAAAACTTTCTCAAATGTGCTTGTAATACGTTTCCTATTCACAAAGTATGATTACATTCATCAATTTATAAAATTCAGTTACTTATATTATTGGCTGTTACAAAAATAGTCTTAGATAACTTTAATACTGAAATGGTTTTATGTAATTTTATTTGGTTTTTATTACAGCGACAAAAAGAATTATCAATATATTTATCATTTGAAATGGTTTCTTCAATCAACCCGATTTAGTTTATCTGGAGTTTGTATGGCATCTATCAATGTGTTTGCTTTTTATTCACTACGATGGTCTTCTGTAGAACTACGCCCACTGATCATTGCCTATTTTGTTTTGACTGTGGTTACGATAGTAATATCTGTGATATTTTCTGCCCTTGTCAAATATCATTCATCTTCTCTTATATGCCCTGTTTCTGTATGCAGAAAATATTCCGGTCATTATCGTAAATTAATTGACTATAATCAAGTAAGACTTTTATACTAGTGTTTTCTCCGTAAATATTTAATCATAAACTATCGTCTTTTTCTCAAAATGATGTTATTGTCGCTGATGTTGCTTTTACTTAACTAGACCGCATAATCATGATGTATTCATTGCATTGATATGCGAAATTCCTCATTATGAATTTCGAAATGAATCAGTTTATATTGCTTGTTCTGTTGTCCCACTGAGTCCTAGTTATTGTACTTGCGATAAGCTCTTCCAGTCTTTATTCTAAATTATTCTGATTCTTGTCACTTGATAACTAACCTATATGTGTATTTCCTCTTTTAAATGAGTAATATTTTAACTCTACTTCTATCTCCAATCTACTTGGATATGTTTTTGGTCACCGCTCTTTAACTTCCATTATCTCAATAATATATATGATTTATTCAATAAACCAAATTGGCTGTACACTTGTTAGGTGATGTAAGGACGTTACGAAGTAGATAGGTGGCTTATCACATGTATGAAGTAATTAAAATAAATGGCTTACTAATCACCGGTGAAATAGTAAGTCAACTGTTTTATAGTGCGTTGATGTTGTCTGGGATAGAAAATACAACATGAAAATTAAGTTGTGAAAGTAAGAGAATACCAAAACTCTATTATTCAACTACTCACATGACCACTTTTTCATATATGTTAGGCATAAACATTCGTTCATATTCCGTTTGATGTAGTCCTCTCAAAAATCTTGTAATTAATGTCTTTCTTTGTACACTTTAGATGTGTACGTCACATCACTTTGTGGCCAGCTTGGTATTTTCGTTCTTACAATTTCTAATGCTATTCTATATTGAAATAATAGAGAGGATTCATAGCACAGATGGATGCTTTTAGTTATATTGCGTTCTCTAAGTTGTATAATTTAATTGTAGGATTTTGCTTATCGTTCCGGATAAAATGATTAGAGTCTAATTTATGTAGAACTAACCTTTATGATTGTTCCACAAATTTATAAAACTCAGCTCTATCGAAAACTATACCGTGACTTCACATATGAAAAGTTACTGATCTTATATTGTGATACTACCCTAAATTGTAATTTTGCATCTCGAAATAAAGAATTTTGTCTTGCGTTTTAATGTTCAATATATCACTTCTATCGTACAATGTTTATTATGGTTCTTATAACATTTCTCAACTGCATCATCTCACTTCTCCCTTACCCTAAACATTGACACCGCTGTTACTCAGTCAATTGTATAGATTGATGAATTAATTGTTGAAGCAGTGGGTTTCCAGCCGTTCAGTTTCATTTTCCAATCCCTAACCCCCCAACAGCTAAGTGTATATGGCTTTGAACTGAGTAAATAAAATTTGTATTTCATAAATGAGTTAATCTAAATAAATTAACTAAAACATGATAAATGTTCAGCTTAACTTGTATGAGTGTTGAAGGATGTTAGTTACCTGATAAAAATTAAGCAGAATGTTCTGAGCCTGTGTAAAGCTATGTTGAAGGTGTTTTTGTTATTTGCGGATTCCCATTGATATATAATTATATATGGTATAATTGGAATTCACTCACTTTAGATTTTATAGTCGGACTTCGGTGTAACATTTCACAGAAGTAAATTTATTACTATAATCACTAAGATTTTTCACTATGTTCGCCTGTATGTCAGTCTAATAGGTCGTTGGTAATTTGAGAAATTCTGTAACACTATTAGTCCTTAACATTCAGATTGCATTAGGTTGTTCGTGATTTATAATTTTTATATCTCACGAGGAAAATATTTTGGGACTTTTGTTAAGTGCACAATGTTGTGACGAAATAATGAATATCTATCTCAATAAACCACTTCTATTAACTTATACTCATTTTAAATCATAATTCAGTAAATTATGTTGTTATACTTATTTTAGAACAAAATGATCTCCAGCGCAGTTATATGCACTTGCCCTAAATTATACCTTGATACCTCTAGTACTGAAAATGATTACACAGTTCCTGGTTTACGTAAGTTCAAATTGTGAGAAAATTCATATCTATCAGAATACATTTAGCAACCTTATAAACAGAAAAAAACTAAACTTATGTTTTGGTTCTGATTGTTACTTTTTGTATATTAAAATGTAATTTACCGTTCTACAACAGACCATACTGACTTCATTGTTATGTTTCCAATATCTTATTTTTAATACTTTTTTTTCATATTGAACACAGAGTTAAGGGATTTAATCAAATTATATGAATATAAAACAATAATTTTTCCGATTATCAGTCTTCTTACCGCTTTCAAATGGGCATTGTTTTGACACTAAAATCAATAGGCAATCTGACAATAAAAAGATGTTATGATTTGTCAAGTTCTTTTAATAAGTGTAAAATTCACAATATATAATTCAAATGTATTTATCATACTCAACCGATAAAATCAAGTTACATATACATAAAATACCCGTTGAGTTTATACAGTTGTTAGTCTCTTATTGATGTTATTTTTTATTATTTCATGCCATCAATCACGACAAATGTCTTTCTGTGACTCAAATCATACAAGTTTAAATTGATTATTATGGAACAAATCCCTTAATTGAGCTAATAATATCCTTATAAGCGAGTGATGTGCAGCTTCCCAGTTTGATAGTGTGTTTAAGATAAAGGATGAACCTGTCGTGAAGTTTGTAAAACACCATGTCAGAATTTCCGAATGATAATTACTAAATTCCTCAAGACGTTTTTATGTTACAACAGGTCCACTAATTGTTTAGATAGATAGTTGTAGGTTTTATGTTAGTTCAATGGGTTGATCTAAGCTAGACTACTATTAAAAACCTGGACTCACTGGACGGCCGTTTCATCTTAGTATGGACACCCAAATGCCGTGGTACGACCGAGGGTGGGGAGAGTCCGCTCTCCCTCTCGAAATGCTCTCACATGACCACGTGCATACAACCGCTGCCAGGGAATTCCTGTTCACTGCCTTCTCGCGGCATTACTGTTGTTTACGAAATTGAGAGGACGAAAAGCGAACGTCCGGCTCTGTAACCGAGTTGGTAGGTACGAAGGATCCACCTGGAGGAGTTCGAAAACCCTGATTTCAAACCAATTGTGAACGTGGGCTCCAGTATCCTGAGAGAAAAAATGGCGTACGAACTAATCGCTAGTCACCGACTACCATGGGACTGCATTTCCTAACGTTGCTCCACTGCCTTGTGGATCAAACCTTTAGGTCGAAGACTCCGGGTGTGGAAACCGCCTGCTTCGGTTTGGGCACCCGGGCAGTATCACAGCCCATACAAATCAAGTGACTCGTGTGGCACATTTATTCGGTGCTTCTTCGTATCAATATTTATGTGGTCGAATAAATAAACTAAGCAATGCGCATCCACGATCCCACATGTGGATTAATAAGTTTCATGATGTTTCAGCATAGGATGGCTAGTTTGTAGTCTCCTGACGTCAACTGATTGGGGGATATGTGCTATGATAAGGTCTGAACCGAATGTAAAATGTGGAACGGAGATTTGATTCGATGAGGAGTTTACTTTTTTCCCTATTCCTGTTTTTATCTACTCACACTGTCCATATTTTTCTCAGGTTTGTAATTATGTTATTATAATATCTACAGATTCTAAAATTGATGTGAGATTAAGGTTTGGGTCGGTATTTGTGCACTTATCTATGCTACAGGAATCATAGACCTGGTTCGGTATTGTGGACTTACTGTGATTTGACCACCTAATCTATGGGATCTGACGTCGCTTTGTATGCTGAATCATCCTATCGTAACGGTCAGTAATATTGGTTTGAAAACCTCTGATAGTTGCATTTTAGGTTGGCAATACTATAATATATTTAATACGTAAAGAATAAGTCTTCTGCATGACCAAGAATGGTTCTGCGTTGACGGCTAATGTAAACTGTAGTTTAGCTTGAAGAGTCATGTTATTATTATTATTATTATTACTATTATTATTATTATTATTATTATTCACAAACATCTTATGGGTACATAAGTGTTGTGAAGAAACCATTTCGGGTTTCTTCAAAAAATTCAATAATACACAATTTTCAATAATGTCAGCATTATACTTGCCATTTTAAAAAAAAAATTAGAGCAATAATAGTAGAATACTAATAATAATAAATCGGGTCTGTGCAATTGAGAAGAATATTGAATTGAGTTTAAAGAAGGAAATGGAGAAAATAAGGGAATAGAAATAAAGGAGACGTGAAATACGCAAACAGTCTAATAGGCGTGTTTACGAACACAGAACAAGAATAAACGACTATGTGTGTATCGTTAAATTAGTAACAAAAAATAATTAAGAAAAAATAACTTATAATTGCAGTAAGATATGACGCTAGAATAAATGCTTGTGCAGTCACATAGCTTGGAGTGATGCTATGAAAGTTACATTTAAATGAAAAGGATAATAAAATATCAATATGTATGAGTAGTCATATATGCATAGTGAAGATAAAACGAGTCTGAGAAGTTAATTTAAGTGTAACACAAGTTATTGTTTTAATTACAAACTTCGTAATCTTAAGAATATTTATTTAGAGGGAAGGAATCGAGTGAAAAGAAGTGAACACCTAGTGAAAAGTTTTGATCCATGATAAGAATAATAATTGTGTAATGAATATCAACCTCAGAAGGAAACCAGCAATTGAAAAAATAAAATAAAAATCCGTTAAAGCACTCGGATGAATACATTTAGATTTATGTAATAGTATACAGAGTGAAACCGGATATTAGTATAAATATTTGTGCAATAATAATTAAGATTGATGCTATGAAAGTCAAAATTGATTTCAAAGAACAATCTGGAGTTAAATATGTTTAGAAGGATAAGGAGATATAAAAAGAACCAATGTCACCACAGACTAGTGTTTTGAGTTTCGTTTTACTTAGTATTGTTTTTCGACAGTTGCCGTCTTAGGTTACTACGCTTCAGGCGTATCTGTGTGAACCGATTTCTTTTTTCCTTGAGTGGAACTGTTTTTGGACGGATTCATAACGATAGCCAGAGGATCTTCACTAAAGCCGACGTTTATCGACTGTCCCAACTAATGTGAGGTACAGCATGGTTGGCGAGATTTGTCACGCATATGATGGTGTATGGTTCCCTAAACATTATGAAATCAGATATGGAGCATTAAAAATTAAGGAGCTGCGAAACAAAGAAAGATCCACTTAAGAAGGGAGAATATCATAAAATAAATAAATCCCAGAATCCTTGCAGAAGGACTGAATGGAATGATTGTGTAGGGAATAGTCCGAGTGGGAGGACATCTTAAACCCAAAGATGTCAACGGAAGTGTTGCATGATACAGTCTAACCAAACTGTCACCCGATGACATCTAATAAAATCACACTACCCTGAAACCGTGGAACGCTGCAGGTTCACATAAATGTCTGTTGTCGTAAGGACTATGTATCGAATCCCTAAAAGAGAATATATCCGTGGGAAGATGTTATATCTCGTGACCGCCGACTAGAGAGCAGTGTTTTTTCTATCGGAACAATGACGCGTAAACCCGTATGAGCAACCTAGAGTTCTAATTGGCCCTGCTTTCCTCCTAGCCCAGCCAGTGAAGTCCAGAACGCCAATCTCAGCCTCTGCGATATGAATCGTTATATTCCAAACATACTCTGTTTATATACCAATCAAGCAGACCATAAAGTAGAAAATAACATTTGTACAATATTTGACCAACAGGAAAATGACACGTGAAATAAATATTGACCAATAGGAAAATGACACCATTTCAAGTTCAACGATAGCATTAGACTTAACATGACAATTTTTGGCATATTTTTCTGAGTATCCCAAAAGAAGATCAATATATTTGTAGTGTGCACACTGAGATATGCTATATAGTCCGACAAATGATGACACCTGCCAAACAGTGGCAATTACGGATGTGGGTGTGCTGGAGCCGACTTATCTGTACTGTTTGTCGTCGAAGGATGAAAAGAAACCTACAAGATGCATGGCTGTTTCTTTCCTCTTGAAGATGAGGACACAGGTTATTTAAATAGTTGACAACGGTAACTGCGACCGAATATATTTTTCTCAATCATTTTATGACTGGATACGTAACAACCATTCAATCATATTAAGGTCATTTTCCTGTTACTGCTGCATTAGAAAGGAAACACTAAAAGTCCCTACAGAGTTGATCATTGGATGGCGTTAGATCCAGAAATCGGGACGCTTCGTTGTCTGTCTAAATGTTAGAATTTAAGTCACGCCTGAGTTCGATAACTCAGCAGATGACAATATCCAATAACTTCCCTATATTAACGTAACAGACGTCCAAAATGGTGTAGAAGAAGTACTGTATGGTATTCTATTCAACTTGTGCAGACACCTCACAAAACCCAGTTGTCACAATGAGATGAATATTTTTATCGGTTCAAGAAAAATATGCTTAAAGAAAAGTGGTAGGTTAATTTAATTTGCTCCAAACATAGGCAAACTATAGTTAATAGTAACAAACCTCTCTAAAATTAAATAGAGAACGTGCTTGAGTCTGATGAAACGGAGACGACCAGTTCACAAAGTACCACCAAAATGTGACGCCTAATATAGAGAGTGCCATCAAAAAACTCATCAACATCAAGGGAATAGTAAGGATTTAGAATTTTGAATGATATTTTGGTATTTGTACGAACTAACGACTCCTTGGTAATTGATTACCCGCTTATTGTGAATTACAAACATAATACGTTCATTCGTGCTCATCTACTTCTACTTAAACTGCTTCATTTCGGGAAATTCTTTGTTAGCGCATTAATTAGAATACTTCTAATTATCATAGATATTGCAATAACAAGTGCAATCAAACTCAAAAACGAGAATCAAAATACGGACAACAATAAAAATGCACACGCTTCCGAAATACATGGGACTGATCATAAGAAAAGACAGACATGGAGAGATTCTTTCTATATCTACGCGTGGGCACACAAAAATGAATCTCACGGAGAGTGTTGTCATTTATTTTCTCACTTCGTATTTTAAATTTTACTCAGAAATCTTTTAATCACACTTTTGTTCTCTTCATTCTTTCCTGACCACGCCTTCACGATTTGACTTGGGTTAACATTTACCTTCACTATTTAGTT